CATTTCATTTTGTTGAAGGTGTGCTTTCTGTGCTACACTGACCTATTTTGAAAAAGCCAGCTGTCTGTTTTGTCACGGGCAGATTCAAGCCATGCACTTTTGGCACAAGTATCACATAAGCGATGTCTTGTCCCTGCCAAAGCATTGTATTATGGAGCAGATGATGTCCGTTTATTCCACTGCTGGCAATGCTAACTTTGATGACTTGGTATGGGGCACTGACCAAGTTTATCAAGTTCTTGAAATTAATAAATGATCTGTGGGGTACACTGTGAGACTGTGATTATCCTGTTCCAAATCTTTGACTCAGTGGTTTTAATCCATTGCTGATTCCCCTGTGAATCAATTATTACTATGGTGGTTGCAAAGAGCAACAGGAACTTATTCACAGGAATGCACATGTCTTTCTCATCATAAAAGGTGACAGATTTTCTATATCTTTAGTCCATTTCAGGAATTTCCTGATCCTTTAGGGTCAGAGGTACTCATTTAATCTAGAACATTTGTAGATACCTTACCACCTGGAAGAGTTTACGAGCTCCCTACATTTGCTGTCTACCTTCCTATGGAACAATTCCTGCCCTCACCCCTATATTTAAACCATTTGGTGATTATGTTTAGTCTTGATTAATCACTGATTTAATATCTAAAGATCAGTTTACTTGGTCCCCTCATATGTGCCAACCCTTTAGCCTCATCCTTCACTGCTGCCTCCTCTATTTATTTTATTTATATTTTAGTAATCATGTTTCTCACATCTCTGTGGTTGTGCACAAGCCCCTCCTTCCCCACCACACACCTGAAATGAATTCATTGCTCCCTACCTTCCCACCTTATTTGCTCAGTGAACTCCCATGCATCCTTCTAGTCCAAGCTAAGTTACTACGTGTCCTTCGTGAAGTCCTCACACGGAGAATGAGTCACTCCTTTCCCTGTGCCTCCATAACACTTTATATATATGAGCCTATTGTTGGACAGTCATACTATAATTACTGGCTTTCTTTTTTCATGGGTTATGTCTTAACTATCTTTGCAACTCCAGAATTCACACTGTTGTTGACACACATGGGAGATTTTCCAAAATAAATGTTTACTGGTGAATAACTAAGTGAGTTTGTTCTCAAGAGTTTTGTTTTTGCTGGGCCATTTTAGGAAAAATCTAAGGACATTTTTCTGAATTATTCCCTATTTATTATTCTTTATTTCTGAATTATTCTTTATTAAATAAATAATCATTATGATTTATTTACTTTCATTACAGAATAAGCTTAGCAGTTTTCAGCTTTTGCCCATTCAAAGCACTCCCCCCCAACCAAATCACTAGTTTTATTGTCTTTATTTTACTTCTCAATATCTGAATCATTTCTTTGATTTCTTCTTCAATGTGAGTATTCTAAGTGTATGACTCCTAATTAGGCTCTAGAATATAAGCTCCTTTTATTTCCCTCTTCTTATGCATAAATACTCTAGCTCATTTTTTCTCTAGCAAATAATAAGGATTTTGATGCTTTAATGTCCTATGAATGCATGTGTGTGCACGTTTGTGCATTCATGTGCATGGGGGAAGACACAGGAAAGTAATATGAACTCACAAAAGAAGGTAAAATGCTGTGGGTCATGAAACCTTAAAGACAATTTTGGAGGTTTTCTGAAATTTGCCGAGATACCAAAGTTTAGGGCAGAATATAAAGTTTGAGAATACCTAATATTTTTTAGGTCTAGGTAAAGCTAGTCACTAGAATTTTGTTATTTTAGACACTTTAAAGTTCTATTAAATGTTTTTCAAAGAAGTGAGCTTTGCAAGAATTTCATTGTAACATTTCATTCTAAGAAATCCATCTATTATAAACAGTATACTTGCTGATACCACAGAGCTGAAGCTCTGCCACAATTTACCATTTTCAGTGGTATAGAGTCACCTTAACTTTACTGTGGAGTCTAAACAGTCTTAAACAGACCTATATTCTATGCAGGGCTGAAACAATATTACCCTTAAATGGTTAGAGCTATACTAAGTAATGATACATGAAGGGATAGTTTTGAATAAAACGTCTTCAAAATGTATGAACAGAATCATGGCTTCCCTCCTGCCCCTCTCCATGCTTCTTGGTGTTAGCAGGTAAAATGACATAAAAAAATAATACAGAGTTTATAATGGGAATGTTAGATGACTGCAAATGGAATCACTGAGATGGCAAATACTCAAAAACAGTGGATCTTGGGTGATTTTGCCCCCAGGGCATTTTTGGCAACATTTGGAGACTTAAAAAAAAAATTTTTTTTTTTTATTGTTACCACTAGGATGCTACTGCTGACATCTAGTGGGTAGAGGCCAGGGATGGCGCTAAACAGTGTGCAATGCACAGGGAGGCCCCCACAGCAAGAATCATACAGTGTCCACACTGCTGAGTTTGAGAGGTCCTGCTCTGAGAATGTCCTGTGCTGTCTTCCACAGCTGACCACAGGACTTGTGGATTAATCTGTTGAACTGTGAATGAGCCCCTTATATATTTTATTTAGTTCATGAGCTCTGGTCTCCTCTGGAATGAGGATTTGTGTGGCAGTGTTCTCTATTCACTTTCACATGTACGACATGATTTCTTGTGACTAAGAACGTGCTCAGAGCACGTTAGATGTTCTGCACTTCACTTGCTTACATAGTTTTGAATATGAAGAGCTGTGCTTTAAATTTCAGAAACGCATCAGTGCATTCACCACACCTTTCATTATATATAAACATTTGTTAATAAATGATTTCAAATTCAGTCCAAAGATCTCTAAACTATTTTGGTAAATTTAATATTTTAAACTTAAATGATTTTGATACTTTGCAATGGTTAGAATCTCATGTGAAAATGTTATTTTTAAAATAAAAGCTACACACAAATCTTTTTTGGCAGTGCTTGTGCTCAAACTTTCATTGTAGCATTGGTAATTCCTGGGTTGTAGGAGAAAAATAGTAGGATTTTGTATTGGATTAGAAACTTAACTTTTTAAACAACTTAACTTGGTAATAACTTACCTTATTTCCAAGCACTCTGGCCAGACAGACACAACTCTCTTAATTCCCCTTGCTAATATTAAAACAAAAAATCCCCCCAAACATGTCGTCATATATTTGTTTCCTATCACCAGCACATCCTCTCAGACACCTTAACTATGCTGTTCTGTGTTCTCTTGCCCCAGTGTCCTCCAGCTTAGGCTTTTGTTCCTTTTCTTTTTCTACCCCATTTTATTCAACATATCTGTTTTCAATGAACTTAAATAGCAGATTCTATGAGAAAATCAGTGAAGTACTATTATTGCCTTTCATAACTTAAAGTTAATAAAAAGAATAATTTAAGACTGATTTTACATGGTGATCATTTCCTACATTAGTCTTTTTTTCTTTTGTTTTTAATTCCACTTCTCATCATACAGGAAGTTAACAGTTCAGATTATGATAATAGTTCAATTCATATTCAAGTTCTAGTTCTACCACCTGCTGGCTTTTCAGCCCTGGGAAAATGACTTGCCTTTTTCTAGTCTCTCTAGATCATTACATTAGTAATAATGATATTGATCTACAGTAAGTGTTTTTGTTAAGAGTACCTGAGACAACGTGATGTCCTTACTGTGATCACATAGCACGTGCTGCTCAATTATCTATTATTAATATGCTTATCAGTATATTAAGCATATTAAGAGACACTATGGTTGTTATTAAAGATAAACCTGGGAAAAGAAAGCCATCACGAAGGTCAACTAACACTTTTCCTAGATTTTTATTCTTTGGTTTTTGTCAAGGAAATCGATTTTTAGTTTAAATAAAAACGTACTCTTTATTTGTGAAAATAATGTGTAGGTGAAATTGAGATAGGCAATAAAGATATGCACTAATTAAGACTTACTGGAAGACCGGTGTGACATATTAAAAACATTTAAAAAACAAAACAGAAATAAAGAAAGTAGGACAACAGTGTATATTCTCATTCATTTTATAAGACAAGAAGATCTTTGTTTTGGTGACTAAATAAACACAAGAGTTATATTAACTGGGTTACTACTAGCAGTACATAAAAAAAGACTGTAATAATAAAAATGAGTACTATTTGGTTAGCATTTACTATATATAAACGTTGCTTTTGCTTTACATATACTACCTCATTTAATCTTTCTTAAATCATATTAGTTAGGAATGCCTTTTTAATAGCTATTTTACAGGAGAGGAAATGTTAGCAGAAGTCTAACTGCTTTAAGTAATAAAGTAACTGGGGAGTAAATGGATAATTGGTACAATAAATAACACCCTTTAGCTTTGATACAACTCAATCATGTCCATGTCATTTTCTTCCATGAAACCCATTTCATTTCTTTAACCATCTATTTATTCTTTATTTCAATTTATAATCAAATCAAAATACTACAGTGGTCTAAGTTCAACTTAATACTTTAGTATATAACTCATTTGAATCACACTGAGTTTATTATTTTTTTCTCTGTGTTCGAATATTTATTACTACTAGTCAACAAGCTTACCTTTTGTCTTCAACAATATGTTTTCAATTTATTAGCTTCGGGCTTCTATGATGCTACTAATTTTCAAGATTCTCCCCTTAAAAGATTTTTTTGAATTAAGATTTTAAATTTTAATTGGTTACATAATCTTTAAATAAATGTAGTTGAATATTAAAACCATTGTCTACTGCTTTACTTATAATTCTCATTTGTTTTGTTATCTTGTTTTTTAATTCTATTTTGATATGAGAATTGGCACATTTTTACCTGAATAAACCTAATGGGGGAACCCCTCTGGTGGTGTGTGACAGCAGATTAGCCACACTGACAGCAAAACGGAACTGGAACAAACATAATGGAGGATTGTTTTCAATGTAAGTTAGATGTTTTTTTACAAATAGGAGAAAAGTAGAAGACAAATAATTTTGTGTTAGCTCAAAATTAATTACCTCATAGAAGTTCACCTGTTTTTATGTGAAAACTAGGGGTCTTCGCATACTGACCTTGGACTCATCTAGTCCAAGCTTCTTTAGAGATTTTCTGACATAATCCAGAAAGGAAGAGGATTTGGAATAAACTTTACCAACATGGCGATCACTGCAAGACAAAATTGAATCACTTTTCAGTTTTTCCATTTAATTATAGATGACTTCAAATTCAGTCATGAAGTATTTTAAAATAACTTCTGTGTATCTGGCACAAGCCCCAGATGTGATAAAACTGTAGTAATATTTATGTGAACATTTTTAAGTTACATATTATACAGTATTCAGGATCTGCTTCTGAGAAGTCCTTCAATATATAGTAATGGAAGACAATATTATGAAGATAATACCATGAGAAAGATGACATAAACTTATAGTATTAAAATGATTCATTTTAAAGGGAACTATACATCTTTCAATAGTTTCCTTTGTGTTACAGAACACATTTTAATTTTACTGGCTCAATATTACAGTGCACGTTTCCTTATAACATCTGCTAATAGTGGCAATAATTCAACAGCTATGAAGAGAATTACCCAATGCCAGCCATTGATCAAGCACCATATGCTGAGTTGGGTCTGACTGGAAATCACTTATTCATTATACTTTCATTACAGTTTAAACAGGTCATGAGACAGTTTTGAATTTAAATAATGCAATGCTAGGTTATCCCAAAATTTTGGCTGCAACTTAGGTATAATGTAAAAATAAAAAATTCACCACACCCAAATTATTTAAAAACAATGAATTAATACCTCATCTACCTTTGGCAGTATCAATATTAATCTCTGTGATTAATTAAACATGAAGTTCTATCAATTCTTCTTCTGAAGTATATCTCAAAATATATTCCTTCAGCTACATTTCTAGACAGCTTCCTCAGTTCCACTTATCTCCTCATGTCCCAACTATTACAGCTACTTCCTATTTAAGAAGAAAGGCTGCACCCTACATTTCTGCCTACACTATCATGTTATTTTCTTAGAGGAACATTTTTATTTGCCTTGCCACTTTCTTGCTCAAAAAACTGGCAAAACCTCCCTCATTTCTTGGGATATATTTGAAATTCTATAGTTAGGCCATAAGGCCCCCTATTTTCTGGCTATTACCACATCTTCCCATTATATTCCAGAACAATTTACTCCACTCCTTGTTTCACACTGTCCACATTTCCGTCTTGGTGCATCTGCTCATGGAGTCACTTCCTAACAGATTAGATAGTTGTCTGCTCCTTTCTTCAGCTTAGTGAAACTGAAGCCACTCTTTAGAACCAAGTTCAAATTATGTGCTCTTTTTGGTAACATGATGAACAATAATCTTTCATAGTTTTTAATTTCTATAGCCCTTATCCTTCTTCCACTCATTTGTTATTTGAAATAATAGTCATTTGAGTAGGTATAGGTTCCAAGTGGCAGAAATTGTATTTTTTACAAGTTTTTGCATAATTCTCAGATCCCATGCATATATAAGTATCTTATGTATAACAAATATCATATAATAGATATGTGCATCTTACCATAGTATATTGAATTGATTAACTGTGCTCCAAGAAAAAGATAGTATTTAATATTAACTTTTTGCCCTTAGAAAGGTTTTTAACCTTGATTAAAAAAAAAAACAAAGGAGCAAGCAATTCTTTCTTACGAACCAGTGATTTTCATTATTTACACTATTCATCACTCCCTAACAGAGTAGCTCAAAAGAGAAGGCATAAAACAGTAGACAACAGTGTGACTTCCAGCAACACTGATTTATAAAATACAGTGTTTATAAACCTTGTTTATAAAATACAGGCCATCCATAGTACCTATTTCATAGTCACTGTGCAGATTAAATTAGAGCACACATAAAAGGTGCTCAGAACCATTCCATAACGTGAGCTGCTGTTGTCTTTATTATTGTTGTTTTTATCATTACTGGAATTATAGTCTGGATTCTTCTTTTATTACAACACTAAAAGAACCACAGTAAGACGCTCACAAGTAAGTGCTAACCACGTAAACTGAAGAGAGTATGATGTAAGTGTAGGTGGTAAGGATTTATTTCCTAGATTTTGCATATTAGATTGCTTGAAAATAAGAGAAACATTTTAAATTTTAATTTGTCCTTGTGTTACTTTACCTTTTCAGGACATGCTACCTTTTACTACTGCAAAATTTCACAGCCTGATTATAAAATTACTTTTTGTGTGCTAAGCAATTATTTGCTGCATAAGACTTTATCTTCAAATCCTGTCAATGTGTGTTATTTCAGACCTGTTTTTAGTAATAAGAGGTAAAGGAGAAGAAGACCATCCAAACAGAACTAGAAAGGTGATTACTTGATCACGTTATTTCTCTTTAAATTGCTCCAGACCTTCCCATGACTCTCAGGATTAAGATCTAAATGCTTAACATACTATATGATAAGCCTTGTACCATCTGGTTCTCTTTCAACCTCTCCGCATTGCTTTATGACATTCCCTGTTCAGCCACAATGGCATTCTTTCAGTTTCTTGAACATATCCTGGTTTTGCCTATAAACACTATCCTTATAACATTCCACTCTCCATCCTTTGGCCTAAAGTACGCCAAACTCTTCCTTCAGATCCTATCCCAAATGTTGCTTCCTTAGAGAAGCCTTTTCCTGCCATCCCGATGAAACCAGGCTCCTAACACAGAGAACTTTTTCTTCACATACTTTTCCACATCTCCCTTCACAAGCAGCACTTCTCCTGCTTTAACTTGACAAAGGAAAGGCGTACTTTTTACCCATGTTGCTATGTTGCATTGCTATGAGGTGTAAGAACCTCTGAAGCATCAGTGACAAAATAATCATTTTATTAAAGGCTTTATAAATGCCAACCATATCCATCTCAACAGGAGATGCATTTCAGTAAACTTTCACTCATCATGTTCAATAATTTAAAATAAAGATTTGCAATTTATGTTATCTACATGTATGAATATTTATGTAACAATATCTTAATCCAGAAGTTCTTTTTTAATACTAAGAGCCTTATGGGTATAGGAAATTTTGTCATCCAGTGGACATGACATAAAAGAGTAAAAGGAGAGCAAAAACCAGTCAACAAAGGGAAAGGATTTGCACTTTGTTCCCATTATGGATTTCAAACATGCCTGGGCTTATTATCTCTAAAAAAAGTTAACATTTTAGAAACTATGCATATTTTGAAGAATACTCCATAGTATTTTATCGTCAATTGTCAATAATATATACATTAAAGAAAATCAAAAGAACTTTGCTATTGTCATTTCATTTGAAGTTGATAATTATATAAATCACAAATGAGATCCAAGTAGAAATTAAAATAATTATTTTCAAGATTTTTCTGTGTTTTTTAGAGTGTGTCCAATTAAACAGTGCTACAAATATTTATTAAATGTATATACAGTTTAGAGAAGAAATATTGTATGAACAAATAAACATTGATTTCAACATTAAATAGATATCTTAATCATAATAGCAATTACTATGTTCCAAGCACTGATTTAAGCACTTTATAGATATTATTTTTGACAACATTCCTTTGAGATAGGTACTATCATTAACCCCTATTTACAGATGGGAAAACCGAGGCAATAAGATATTATGTACCCAAGATCACAGTGTTATTATCTGATGAGGACTGAGATTTAAAACCAGATAGCACAGCTCCTCTGCTTATGCTCTTAACCATTTCTCTGCTGTTTCTCTATTGGGAGTCTTTAAAAATACATGTGCACTAGGAATCTTAAGAAGGGTTGACATTACATGAAGCATTTACTTGATTAAGAAGTGCTTTTTGTCCAAGTATTTTTACAGCATCACTGCTCTTAAGGACAGCAATCTGGAGAACACTGCTATAGAATAGTCAAAATCTGATTTTCTTTCAAAAGCATTTCTCAATACTCCTGGGCTAGATTATTTGGTTCTATCACTCATTATGAATGAAATACAACAAACAAAAAATCATTTGAGCTTTGATCAATGAAACAAGTAAAATATATAGTACATTAAATAGTAACAAAAGCAGAGAGGCTGATGATAGAGGAGAGAAAGTAGATATGAAATGTTAGAGAAGTGATGGTGGATGGTGATACAGAGATGATGAATTTGAGTAAAGATCTGAAGAAAGAGAGTAAGCTAGCCATGTGGATATCTGGCAAGGAGCATTCCAGGCAGAGGCTACAGCATATGCAAAGGCCCTAAGGTAGAAGTGTTTCTGGTATTTTCAAGGAATAGCAAGGAATTCGGTGCAGACATAAATAAAGGGAAAATGGCAGAAATGAAATTTAGAGAGATAATAAGGAGCCACATCACATAAGCCTTTGCAGGTCATAGTAAAAATACTAGCCTTACTATCAAGTGAATGAGAAACCATGGGAAGATTCTAAGATCTCATGGATATTAACAGGATCACTCTGGCTATTTTGTAGAGAATAGAATATACGGGATTACTGTAGAAGCAGAAAGACCAATTAGGAAGTTTATTACAATAATCTGGATGGAGATGATGGTGGTTTAGAGCATGGTGGTGGCCCTGATGATGGTGAGAAGTGGTAGAATTTTAGGTATATTTTGATGGGAGACTACAAAATTGCTGAAGGACTGCATCTAGGCAGTGTGGAGAAAGAGAGGAGTCAAGGGTGCCTTCAAAATTTCTGACCAGAGCAACTGGAATAAGATTATCATTAACTGGACTATACAGTTTGGGATTCCTCAGCACAGAGATGGTATTTAAAGCCAGGAGATGGAAGAGATCACCTAAGTAATGGGTGTAGATAGACAAAGTACTAAAATAGATAGAGGTTTGAAAGGATAAGAGCAATCAGCAAAACCCAAAGCAGAGAAGGGGAAAAGCTGAGTATCTTGTAAGGGACTTTCACTGGAATATGAGAGAAAAACGTTTCAGTTGAGAGTGGGAAACTGTGTGAAACACTGATGGCAGGACAATGATGATGACTGAGAACTGACTGTGGGATTTGGCAACATGTGTTAATTAGTGCCCCTGAAAGACTGGTTGATGGAGTGACAGAAGTAAAATTTGATTGATATGCAATATAAAACAGGACAGAAATTGGCAGCATGTTTAAGGAATTTTCTGGTAAAGGAAAGAATAAAGGACAGTTG